TGCATTGTTAAAGGAAACGTAGTGTTTCTTACCATCAGCAGACAATGCCATGAGGAGAGCTGATGCACTGGCCTGTAAGCTTGAAGAACCTGCATGTGACTGCAATAAAACATATACAACAAGTCATGACACGACAGTCTGCACTGTTTTTAGTGTAAGAGTATATTTGAGTGAATGTGTACATATCTGTGCATTGTACGTCTCATGATACGTGCATGCAATCTCTTAAAATTAACGTATTACATTCTAAAAGCTCAGGCAAATCTTATGCAACAGATTCGGAACTTCCAACCCCTACCCTCCAGCACTCCCCATTTAATTGTACATGCCCCTCCTAAGGACATCTATAGTTATCTAGAGGGGGCATATACAAATGAATTGGGTAACAGGGAGTGTTAAAATTAGGGTTAGGGATGGGGGGTACAAAAGGAACTCTTTCCACAGATTTGAACCATATTCATCAAAGAATATCTGAAATGTTTCCACAAAAGTTTGATATTGTTGCATTATTTATTCTGATTGACACAGTAGGCATGATACAAATTGGAGTCAGTTGTGTGATTCCTTCTTTTATTATGTGCATGATATTTATGTCTTTATTATTTATGCTGAATAGAAACTCTCATTTTTGGTGTTTTACAACTAAAATGACCAACAGAAATGTTCATGTAAATGATAGAAGTATGTCTAAATTAAATAATCCAGTATACAATCCATGCATATGATAGAGGTCTGCCTAAAGTATACGTAACAAATATCTAAGCAAGAAGTAGTCAAACATTTGTTGGTGGAAAATCATGTGAACAGTTCATACTCTTTGATGACAGTTCTACTGCTCAATCCATATCATGCTACACAATGTGACATTGCGTTTTTAAGCCTTTGAGCGCCAAAGTCAACTTCAGGCACGATCCACAAAATAGTTCCATTTATAGTCTGCTATTTCCACATGAAATGTCATGAAAATTTTGAATTTTTTGATTAAAAACTAGAAGGAATGTCACATTTAGTTTGTAAGGTCCAAAATTAAGATTAAATTCAGTGAAAATTACAGGAAATGTCAACAAATATTAATATTAATAGATGGATGGGTGGTTGATGAAATATTATTGAATCATCTTGTGTGAATTTTAAATGATATTAGTTGATGAATAAATTAACACTTGCACTTAACGCAATACCTGCTGAAGAACTTTTTTCCCATTCATTTTGGGTATCTGTGGAGGCAGCAGACATTTTGTTAAATGCTTAGATGCTTTATGATCCAATCTTTATTTTGTGTTTGGATTTGATCTGACCTGAACTGAATAAATAAAGTTGCAGAGATATGACATTTGATTTTTCTTTTATAATAAATAAAAGTTTACATCATTTGTGATGTATACTCAATTGACTTAAGAATGTGACTTTGAGTG